AAACAAAGAGTTAAGCTTTCAACTTATCACCACTTCTTTCCTATGTATAAAATTTAGGTAAGTACTATTTGTAACAATAAAAGCTAACAGCTACAGACAGGATATAGAAGACAAATTATAGAGAGCAATCCATTTTGCTAGGTGTCAGATCTTCTTTTTTTTTTTTTTCTCTTTGTAAAATATAGGATATGGGGATAGGCTAAAAGGATTCAAAATTTATATATGGATACGTAGATACATATAAACTTAAAATTATTTAGAAATTTATATACTTATGATTCAGATGCATTTGAGTTTAGACAAGGTACATGGGTACTTGGATAGGTGTTATGTTATATATTTAAATGTAAATCTATAATAAATGAAATTGCAAATTGTGATAATTCACTTGAATTTCATTTCAAGTCTAGAAATATGAAATAGAAATTAGAAATCTTATTAAATACAATATCAAACTAGCAAAAACGATATAAAGGATCCTCTTTTGATTTAAAGGATCCAAGAAGGAACCTATACCCTAGTCGTGTGTGTCAGACATAGGTACTTCCTCCAAAATGATTAAAATGAAGAGTCCAAGCAACATAGAGCAATTAAGGATGTTCACAGTTGAATAACAAAAATTCATAGAATGATTCCATACAGAATGTGCACCAGGTGCCCCTTGAAGTACTCTAGAATTATTTTTAAGTAAATTACCGACAGAACTTATACCTACAAGAATTACCTTGCGAAGCTAATGCCAGTCAATCAATAAAGTTATATAACTATGTAATGGCACATGGAAGCAACATAGAATGCCATGATGTTAGAAAAACAAAATATCTAACCAAAGTACTCGACCATGAGCAGCTATACCTTCACATATATAGGCATATAAAATCCAGGAAATAATGGCCTGTGTGGCAAGGGTAATGCTATAACCTGCACAAGTAAGAGATTTTGATTACTATACATTCTAAAAATAAAACGGAACAACAAAATATCAGCTCATGTTTAACATAATCTAATAATCCTCATCTCCTTTATAAAAAGTAACAATGTGACACGATAACAGAAAATCTGGTACAAATGAAGATACTTGGAAAGAGTGAATTTCACAATGATGACCACTAAACCGCCCTCAGTATCAGCTGTAAAGTCTAAAGGAATTGTGCATAAATTCAGCTTGGGGGATTATGAGCGATATACTTAATTGTTACAGTGTATCTTTCAAACTTTAAAAAATGGATCAACTCCTATTTTCCATTGGAATCCGAGTCGGACAAATTTAGAACTAATAGAGCCAGATAAAATGTCCGCTGTTCTCATACACTCGTCTAGTTTAATAATTATATCAAGTTGAAGACATCATTAATCAATTCTTCCCCACCCCTCAAAAAATACGATCATCCCAACTCCTCACTACAAATTATTCCTCCAAACCTTGGGTATGGAACAATATCACCTTTCCATTGCCACCCCCAATAAATAAGGAAGTAAGAAACAGAAAAACCTTATATTCTATGAACAACTAATGATGCCCCCCCTCCCTTTCCTCCACAAGCTTTGCACTTTCCATCACCACAAATAGAACATGAACATTCATTTCCTCTGTTACTTTGTGAGTGAGAGACAGACGTAAATTTCATTGTCATCTCAAAATACCAATCTTCCAATGAAAGACAATCCTCACACCCCAACACATTTATTTTACATAGACCATATAACCAAAATATCTAATTTCATCATTTAGGCTCCCTGTGTTTCTGTTCCCAAATATGTGGTTGCATTGCAATGCAGAGAAAGCAAATTGAAGAAATCCAGAAATAATTACTTACGAGAATAAAAGAAAGCGTCGCCGCGAATTTAATATGCACTCCTTAAACTAACAAGCTTGTGCATACTATACAACTATGTGCATTATCACATAAAAATCCACCAAATTTTCTCATGTATATTTTGTATGAGACCAAATTCGCCATTAGTTAAGACAAGCTTGCAACAAAAATACCATTTTGAACTTTTTCAGTACAAACATTGCAAAAGTGCTCCCGCGTACAAAAAAGTTAAGATTTAAGAGTTGCCCTAACCACAACGTTGAATTTTATTTTCAAATCTCGGTTTGTCAAAAAGCAAAATCGAGATTTACCCAATTTTTTATTGCTTATAAGATTAAAAGATCAAAAAATTTGAACAATCATACGTAAACCCACATATTCATGTACACTAAATGTATGTATAACTATAATTCATAAAAACTAACCGTTAAATAATCTTCAGGTCTAAATACAGTGGGAACAATAGCTGATGAAGACTTAGATTCAGCCTCATCAGTCGCAGCCCCATCAACCTCTTTGGCCTCGGACCCAGCTTCCACGGGGTTGGACCCATCAGAGGAGTCGGAGCAGAAGAACCGGCTATAAAAATACGGGCTTTTTGTGTTAGTTCCTCGGAGGGAGTTCAGGACCCGAAGAATTGGAGAGGAAGTCTCGACGGTGGGCCCAGGCCGGAGTTGTACCCCAAACGACGACGTACCGGCGTGGAACCGGCATGTGGAGGTGAGGACCTTCAACATGATAGCAAAGGTCAGGGGGGAAAGACCTAAAATCCCAATCCAAAAGATTTAGAGGAAGGCGTGAATCGCCATTGATGGAAGATAAAGAAGCTTTTTGCTTGGGGAAGAAGAAGCAGGGTTTTATGACTTCTGTAAAAACCCTGCACAAATTTTGGTTTTGCTTTTGTCGAAAATACCCTTGTCATGCCTTTTATTTTCTATTTTATTATTTTCAAAATGATTAAGCTTTTAATCATGTAATATAATATAATATAAAATGAAAGGGTAAAATTTCACTCTGGGTCTCAAACCTTTTCAGTTTGCATCAATTTCATCCACACTCAATTTTCATTCCCCCTCCCATCTCCAATCTTTCACTAATTTGTACATGTAGTCCTTCGAGTAATGTTATTCATCCCCATTGTGGTTCAACTTCAGTCTATATGTCAATTACATGGTATTAAATGATATATTCATTTAAAATTTTAAATACAATGTCACATGACTCATTTAATTGAGACTATCATTTAATGTCATATAATTGGCGTATAGATTGGGGTTGAACCTCAGTGGGGATGAATAGCGTTATTTTAGTCCTTCTCGACTATTCCCATTCATTTTTGTAGTTAAGTTCTTGTAAAATAGACAAGTCCACCCTGAACATAACATAAATAAAATGGAAGAATAGAAAAAATAAAATAGCAAACAAAAATAAATTTAAGCCCCTATTTGGTATGGCTATAAATCAAATTTTTAGTATTTTTTTTATAAAAGTTGATGAAATATTTTGTTGAACAATTGATAAAAATTGTGAATTTCATAAAATATGCCGTTAAAATAAATTATTGACTTTGATTTAAATTTTTATCTAATTTTTTAGCCACCACACAGTTTCATCGCCACCCATCGCCACTCCAAGATCATTAAAGTTTAATTCATGCATATGGTTCCCAAGTATCCACTTCTAGTTTTACCATTGAGCTCATACAAGACATAATAATGGTATTGTGTTCAAAATGTTAGAAGACGAAAAAGTTTGAGAAATGTAAGAATGAGAATGAGAGAAAAATATGTTAAACCACGTATATTTGCATGCATATTATGCATAATGAGAATTCGTTCATATAGTTGTATTGTAGGTATGGCAATACATATATGGAATGTTTGTGTGAGATGATTGTGTACTAGTTACTCGACCGTGGTTTAATGGATCCCGGCGAAAAAAATCAAAAAAATATTATAAACAAATTATTTAGCTTTTGAAATTGATTTATTATTTTTATAGCATTACTTATGATATATCGGGTGTTAAACTATTTTTTTTTTGTCAATTGGAGTTGAATTAAATGATTATATGACAATATCAAATATATCATATGGGAATCTGCTAAGTTAGATAACGGATTTCAAAATTAAACTCTTTGCAATTATATCGTAACGATCTAATCTATATGTTCAAATCGTTAACTTACATACCGTCTGATTTGAGAGAGGTCAACCCCACATTACTCTTCACAAATTTTTATCACGTCATCAGGATTCGAGCTCTTGACATTTCCCCTTAAAAATGACTTAAGTTGAATCATAATACCAAGAAAACATAAGCTTAAGATCTCTCATAGCGGACAATACCTAAATTAACGGCTTGCACATAGGGTCGAATTGCTACAAAAAAAAACGCGTTAGTAAATATTTTAATTTAATTCTTTACGTGATTTAAGTGTGAGTATTGAATCTAATGCGTATGTTTGTCCGTATGAAACTAGTAGTGAAAGGTGAAACCATTCATGGTATCGCTGTTGTTTAGAGATTGGTCCAGCATCGTGAGATATAGTGAAAAATATGTTTATCAAAGTTGACAAATTGGTATTTTTGATAGACTTTCTAGTACTTGGCATTGAAGAAAACCAAGACATACTGGAGATCTTGGAACGGGTGAGAGTTTCCATCGATATGGGAAAATAGAAGTTAATCTCGATAGTGGAGGACAACAAAGCAATATTCAACATCTATAGTGCATCAGAGCAACCATCGAAATGAGAAAATGCTTCAAACTCGATGAAGTAGGTGCAAGTTGAGCAAAGCGAGTATAATTTGTAGATACAAATGGAGCATAAATAGTGAATATTTCAATTAAAATAATGAAATAACCATTTGAACATAATTTTTCAATTCGATGGTCAAAAGTGTTGACTGACATGAGAATTGGATAGCGTTCATCCCTTTGGACGTACGTAACCAATAATCAATCAAAGGTTGGGATCCAATTATTATATTCAGAAAAAATGGGGACGTTTGCTGCACTTAACCCTAAAATCTTTTAAAATCCTTCCTCCCCTAATTAACTTTTTTTGTTTTTTTTCCTTGAACCTCTGCAAAACCTACTTTTGAATGGTTGCTGTCTCCTCTTCTTTTTTCCAAACACTACTGTGTAGCATCCTGGTCTGAATTTCATGCCCTTGCCTCCATGTACCGCCTCCGCCGCCTCCGTGCTCCGACACCACCTGTCCCTACTTCATTCTCATACCATCTCCACACGGTCCTTACACACCCTCCAACCCCAATATCACCGTGCCTCTCCGACCCAAACTTGCGATCACAAGTCTCATCGCTAATCAACGTCCAACACTGGTCCAAACTCAAACCACTCATCCAACCAGCCAACCCAACCCAGTTTCTCCACCAACTCTTTCAGTTCAACTTCCCCTCGGATATCATTCTCGCGTTTTTCCAATGGTCCCAACACGCTTTTGAGGTAACCCACTCTCTGGAAGACTACGTCAAACTCTTCGTTCTGTTAGCAAATGACAAAAAGTACCCCAAGATCCGATCTTTACTTCATAAACTCTTGAAACGCGCTAATATCGTTTCAAATTCTGCATTTTTTAGTACCCTTTTAAATTTTAGCGACAATTCATGTGCTAATAGTATTATTGTGGATATGTTGATAATGACTTATGCCAATAATGGAATGTGCAATAAGGCGTTGGAGGCGTTTAAGAGGGCGGGGGATTATGGGTTTAAGTTATCTGTATATTCGTGCAATTTAATGTTGGACTCGTTGGTGGAGGAGGGTAGAGTTGCAAGCTTGGAACTTGTGTATAAGGTGATGATTAGGAGGAGGATTGAGTTTAACTTGTTCACTTTTAACATTGTGATAAATGGGTTGTGTAAGGCAGGGAGATTAAATAAAGCTGGCGATGTGGTAGAGGATATGAAGGTCCGTGGGGTGATGCCAAATGTGGTGACCTATAATACATTAATTGACGGGTACTGTAAGAGAGGTGGGCTGGGGAAGATGTACAAAGCCGATGCCTTATTGAAGGAAATGGTGGAGAGGAGGGTGTCCCCAAATGAGATCACTTATAATACCCTCATTGATGGGTTCTGTAAAGATGATAATTTGGTGGCAGGAGTGAGGGTGTTCAAGGAAATGAAGCAGCAAGGGCTGAGGCCGGGCGTGATTACATATAATTCATTGATTAATGGGTTCTGTGATGATGGCAAAGTTGATGAAGCACGTGGTTTAAGGGATGAGATGATGGGTTTCGGTTTGGAGCCAAACATTGTTACTTATAATGCAATTATGAATGGGTTTTCAAAGAAGAGAATGCTGAAGGAAACTAGAGAGTTATTTGATGATATAGTGAAAAAAGGAGTGGCTGTCAATGTGTTAACATTTAACAGTTTGATCAATGCCTATTGTAAAGCAGGACAAATGGAAGAAGCAATGGCCATACGAGATTTGATGTCGGAGAGGATGGTTATTCCAAATGTTTCAACATACAATTGTTTGATTGGTGGTTATTATCACAATGGAAACAAAGAAATGGCAAATAAGCTTTTAGATGAAATGGAGGAGAAGAGCATAAAAGCTGATGTAGTGACCTATAACATACGGATTGATGCAATATGCAAGAATGCTGAAACTAGAAAGGCAGTTAGACTTCTTGATGAAATGTCTGAGAAGGGGTTGACTCCGAGTCATTTGACATATAATGCTCTGATGGCTGGTTATTGCGGGGAAGGAAACCCAAATGCAGCTTTGACGGTGAGGAGAAGAATGGAGAAAGAAGGAAAATCACCAAACATTGTGACATATAACGTGTTGATTAAAGGATTGTGTGAGAAAGGCAAGCTGGAAGAAGCAAACGGATTCCTTAACGAGATGTTAGAAAAAGGATTGATACCTAACCGGATAACCTACGACATCATTAAGGAGGAAATGATGGAAAAGGGATTTGTTCCTAACATAGATGGGCATCTCTACAATGACAGTAAAATCTCAAAGCTTGAGAATATTAACAGGAACGAACACCCCATTTTCTTTTGATATCAATTGTGAGACGTGCAGGAACCAAAACTAGTTTGAACCGTATCTACCAGGCTTTTACATATTGTATTTGGGACCATTTAACTCTTCCTGCTGAAACTACTGAAATCCATTGAGTTCTCATTTATAACTAGGACTAGGATTACAGGCCAAAGTCGTGAAGATCAAGCTGGTGAATTCACCTATTCAAGTACATTTCTACATTTTTCCCTTTTCACTTTTCAATTGTTATGTTTACTCAATCTGCAGGATTCTGGTTAACAACTCTTTGGTTGCTTCTTTTCGATTCAGGGTGGGGCTTCTCTTTTATATCAATGGAGGAGCTCGATTCACCATCAGACAAGAAAAGGTAAATCTGGGTATCTCGTGTCATATCAATTGACAGTGTTCACTGTTTCATTTCTATCTTTATTATAATCTTTTGTTCCAATTTGCTCACTTGCCATAATATTATGTTTTTGTTTAAGTTGGTGAATGGATTGCTTAATGGAGAAAGTCCCTTTGTTGTTTTACCTTTTTGTTGCGTATGTGCTCAACATTTCAAGATAAATTCTCATCCCATGTTCGAAGTTTGGTTTCACCAGATAAGGAATTTGGTTTAAACCCTACAAGTCTTCTGTGCTGGAATTTTCACCCTGCAATGACTGAGAAAAAGTCAGAATTATATTGTTAGTCATTAATATTTCAGTTATTTTTGCTTAGTCGTAAGCATTGCAGAACTTAATTTAGAACGCATATAAGCTATACCTCGAAAAATGTGTAGCTGGTTGAGGCTGTGGTTCTTGAAGAGCAATTTCAGAGAGTTATTCATTTTTGCTCTAATTTCTGCGGTGTTCTCAATTGATAGATAGACTTCCTGTATATAGGTTTAATGTCAAGCATACGCCACGTGGCGTAGTCAGGTACATGATAATGATTTGGTTATTATTCATCTGTTACCGCAATTCTAATGCCCGCTAACCTAGTTGCTGTGGATTTAGTAGATCTTATGGAATAGTGAAGAATGATTCATGTAGCTTGCCCCAAATTTATTGGTGATAAGGCTTAGTTAGTGTGGTGTTGTAATTCTTTTTCACTATCCTTATTTTTAATCTAGGCAATTTTGGAATTTTAGATAGACTAACTACTTCATGACGATTTCATCGCTGATGTAAACAAGAGATAAAAGGGTGATTAGAAGTTTTAATCTATAAAGCATTCATGAAATTGTTTTTTTCTGTCATCCAATAGTTTTAAAAATATTTTGAATCCCACCATTTATGGGATGTCATCAATCATGCAGGTTCCTGTAGCCCTACACTTATCATCAGGTGCGATGGTTGGAGGCAGTGGTTAGTGGGGATATTATCTGGACGGAGTCCTGGACGAGCACGGAGGATGTAATCTGATACTTGTACAAACTATTTGGAATCAGTATCGAAACTGAAGATGTTTCTCGTGCAATTCAATCCTGCATTTTGCGCCGCTTAAAGAAGGGAAATTCTTGTATAGAGGCTAGATTATCACCAATTGAGAAGAGTTCCTCATTCTCCTTGAAGACTGTAAAAGGTATCATTTCTGGTTGTGGATAGTGCAGGCTTTGCAACATGTAGAGTTGGTTAGATGTTTAAACCTTTCCCATGTACCAGAAATAAGTAAATGAAAAGGTCTTTCTATATCTAGCCCTCCTGAACTAAGAAAATCTGTGACCTTACCCTAAGTGTTCTTGTATTTTCCTTTTTCCGTCGTCGCTGTTGCTCAACCATTTTTTGTCCCTTTTTTATCCACATAAGAGAACCCACAAGAAAATATCTCCTCTTCCCTACGCACGCAGATGCCCATAAATCGAACCTATAGGGATTGCAGGCCGCCCCCACCCCCGTTGCCCGTTTAAGGCAAGGTGGGGCTGGGCGTGGCGGATCCTTTCCCCATTTACTCTCCGTTTAAATTTCTTTTTTTTTTTTTTTAAGTTTTTTATAATTTATTTTTATTGTCGATATTCATTAGATTTAGACAAATAATTTTAGTTGCTATTTTCTATTAGAACTAATGAAAATTTTCATTTAAAGTATTGAATTCTAAAAAAAATAAAAATAAATTAATGAAAATTTATTAAAGTAATGAAAATTTTTAGTTGCTATTTTCCATTAGAACTAATGAAAATTTTCATTTAAAGTATGGAATTCTAAAAAATAAATAAATAAATAAATAATTAATGCATATTCCTCAAAACAAAAATAAAAAAAGTATTGAATTCTAAAAAAATAAAAAAAATAAAGTAATGAAAATTGGGTTAATTTCACAAATGGTCACCGAAATTACCTAAAAATCACAAAACGGTCACTGAAGTTTAAAACTTGCAGAAACGGTCACTGAAATTTCATGCGCTTTCACAAACGGTCACTGAAGTTTTAATTTCTTTCAGACTTTCACAAACGGTCACTGAAAGACCGTTATGTTTTAAATTCAAACTTAAATGACTAAAACACATGAACATAGAACATTAAGGACCTCAAGTGCAAATTTTTTCATTTAAAAACCAAAATCATTCTCTTCTCAACCCACCACCTTTGGACAACTATAACTCCAACGTCCGACCACCTTGGCCGTCGAAACAATATACCACCTTAAAGCCCCCGCTACCCTCTACGCAACCCACCCAAGAATCGACCCTAACTTCATTAGATTTCGTCGGAATTTCGTCCCAAAGTCGGCAGCTCGCACAGGACAGCACTGCCAGCCGCCACTTTGGGACGAAATTTGACCACTTTCTAGCCATTAAAACCACCGAACCAAACATATTACCTTGAAGCCCTCGCCGTGCTCTACGCAACCCACCCAAGGATCTCCCCTAACTCCTTCGGATGGCCGGAATTTCGTCCCAAAGTCGGCGGTTCGCACAGGACAGCACTGTCAGCCGCCACTTTGGGACGAAATTTCACCACTTTTCGGCCACCAAAACCACCAGAACAACATACCATCTTGAAGCCCTCCCTGTCCTCTACATAACCCACCCAAGAATTGCCCTTAAATCCGTCGGATTTCGCCGAAATTTCGTCCCAAAATCAGCCGCTCGCACAGGACAGCACTGCCAGCCTCCACTTTGGGACGAAATTTCACCACTTTTCGGCCACCAAAACCACTGTATCAACACATCACCTTGAAACCCTTGCTGTCCTCTAATTAACCTATCCAAGAATCACCCTAACTCCATTGGATTTGGCCGGAGTTTGGTCCCAAAATCAGTCGCTTGCACAGGACAGCACTACCACCCGCCACTTTGGGATGAAATTCCGGCCAAGTCCGATGGAGTTAGGGGTATTTTTGGATGGGTTACGTAGAGGATAGCGAGGGCTTCAAGGTGATGTGTTGGTCCGGTGGTTTTGGTGGCCGGAAAGTGGTGAAATTTCGTCCCAAAGTGGCGACTGGTAGTGTTGTCCTGTGCGAGCTGTCGACTTTGGGACAAAATTCCAACGAAATCTGATGGAGTTAGGGTCCATTCTTGGGTGGGTTGCGTAGAGGGTAGCGATGGCTTCAAGGTGGTATATTGGTTTGGTTGCCGGAGTTTGTAGTTATTGTTGTCCAAAGGTGGTAGGTTGATAAGGGAATGATTTTGGGTTTTAGATGAAATATGCACTTGAGGTCCTTACTGTTCATGTGTTTTGGTCATTTAAGTTTGAATTTAAATCATAACGTTCTTTCAGTGACAGTTTGTGAAAGAAATTAAAACTTCAGTGACAGTTTTTGCGAGTTTTAAATTTCAGTGACCGTTTTGTGATTTTTAGGTAACTTTAGTAGTGACCATTTGTGAAATTAACCCAATGAAAATTTATTAAAGTAATGAAAATTTTTAGTTGCTATTTTCTATTAGAACTAATGAAAATTTTCATTTAAAGTATTGAATTCTCAAAAAAATAAAAATAAAAAAAATTAATGCATATTACCCGTTTAAGCGGGATATCCCCGCCCCGTTCGGGGTGAGGCCGCGCGGGTATCGGGTTTTTTTGCCATCCCTACGAACCTATAACAAGCATCACTTTCCTCGAAGTAGACCAAGAATTGGGTTGGCTACATGAGTGTTCTTTGCCATTCCTTTTGATTCATCGCTATATCTACCTACATTTCGTTACTTCCATTGCTGAAAGTTTTGGTTCGCCAGATGTCACTTTTTGGCTACATTACTATGAGAATGCACATAATGCGGTTGATTGTGTTACAAATGATCAGGAGGCAGATGGAATCTATGTCAAGTTGTGTTGTTTAATGCATATTCCTCAAAACACAATTAACAGGAAGTTCTCGAATTTTCTTATTTTTTCTTTCAATATGATAGCTACTTTCCAGTTGCTGAGCCAAAATTGAACTTGGAACCATCTCATCAAAGTAGAAAAGATGAAAGAAAAAGCAAATAAGAGAAGTTATTCTTATTGATTGATATGTTCTTATTCTAGTGCTTTTTTGACCATATCCCAAGTTGCATAATGTTGAGGATAACTAGAGTACAAAAAGTTCACATTTCATGCAGAATATTAGACTTGGATAGGACAATAGACACGATTTTAGTTTCTTTTTATATATCAAAATATTGTCAAGTGCTATACATGCCAAAATGGTCTTGTCGGAATTGACTAATGAGGCACAACATGTGTCGTCGTGTAGTTAGCACGAGTTTGACTTCATCTTGGCCAATAAACATGCAGTGGAGATAGCCTCCAAGATGAATGGTGGTATCCTATTGATGCCCTCTTGTCATTAATGGAAGCATCAATTAAACCACATTCAACTCTACAGGCAACTTTTGGTCATCACCTATAGTGCTTGAGCATGAGATTCCCATAACAGAGAAAAATGTTGGTTGGGGGAGTTTCATCAGCTAATGACAATGTTTTACTTTTTCTTTACTCAAAAGTTCATAATATTGAAAAGAAATGTAACAAGATATTAACATACGAGGACGACATACAACTCGACCTTAGTAATGAAAAGAAAAAGCAGCAAGCTTTAACGTTAGTTGGTTTGAAACTCATCCGAGATAAACTCGAGAATGAAATACATAAAATTAAAACAATTTTAAGGCGTTAACTTAGTTTGAGCTCTAGTTTTAGATTGTTTTATAATATCAAGTCGATTTCAAAAAATTTACTCAAGCTAGCTTGCGTGCGTTGAGCTTCATCAAGAATTGTTGACTTCTAGGAGAACGCTATTGTGAAGCTTTCACCTCTACTTGGACGAACTAATAGCGTGAACAATATTATAAAAGAAAGACGCGTAAGATAATATATATCCACTTTTTGGTGAATCAAATAAACCTTGAAAATTTTGTTATACAATATTAAACATAATCGAACAATCTAATAAACGAGAGTTTAACTACACATATTATATAAATAAAAAATAGATCAATACCTTATAATCGACTTTACCAAACCAACCATAAAAAAATTCGATGAAACACTTATTTCTTAGAAGTCCAAGGAGTATCTTTAAAGGAAACCGATGATATAAAGTGTGTTCTATCTCGTCGTCGGTTAGTCGCATTAAGCTTTATTTCAAAGTGGAATAGACCAAATTGGTCCACATGTTAATTTTTTTTGCTAAGTGTCTTTTGATCTTTGTAAAGTTAAATGGGGATTTCTGTGTGCAGATTGATGTCTTCCATTAAATCACTAAAGATGTTTCCAAAATGAAAAACTCGATAGGGTGCGAGTAAATGTTGTCATGGGGGTTAATTCTACCGATGACCATTTAACTTTATACTTAGTGTCACTATGGTTACCCGATTTAATTTTGTTTTATCATGGTTGCACAACTTTATACTTAGTGCCACCATGACCATCCAATTTCATTTTATTTCACAATGACCATCAAATTTTATATTACGTTTTACAATAACCACTCAATTTTACATAACGTTTCAATATGTGACCACCCAACTTATTTTCACCATTTTCACTAATTTTAAAAGTGGTAAAATGGTAACTGTTACATTGTATATATAAAGCAAATTAAAAAACAAATAAAAACTTATTTTAAAAAAATAAAATAAAAACTTATTTAAAAAAATGTTACTTAAAAAATAAAATAAAAACTTATTTTAAAAAAAAAGGTTACTTCAAAAAATAAAACAAAACAAAAATTTAGGAACTGTTCTCTTTGTATTTTGAGTTTTGAATTCATTTTGGATTTTATATTTTGAGTGTCCATTTTGAGATTATTGAAAATGTGTTCTTTTGGTATTTTGAAAACATGCAAAACGCGTTTTGAAAATTTTGATTTGATTATAACTGAAAACACCCAAAATGGCAAATTTGCCGTTTTGATTTTCTTTATAAAATTTTAACTTATTTTAAAAACGCGTTTTTGAAAATAGAAAATAAAACGCGTTTTCACTGTTTTGGAAAATCGAAAATGGAAAACGAATTGAAAATGATAAAGAGAACGAACCCTTATTTGTTTTCAAAAATATTTTTAAAATTAAAAAAATTACTTTTGTTTTTTTTAAATTTATTTTATATATATAATGTAAAGTTTCGATTTTACTCCTTTTAAAATTAGTAAAAATAGTGAAAAGAAATTGGGTAGTCATGGTGAA